TCTGGCTTCCCTTTAAACCAAGGTCTCACACGGGCACCAAATTGAAGCGTCACACGTCCAATTGGTTGGACCCGACATCAGCTAGCTTCAGCCCAAGGACCTCACACCATCCGGCAGAATGTTCTTTGTTTTTGTTGGAACCTCTGTGAATTGACCTGTTTGCCCAAAGAGGTACTCCTTAAAAATGACATGTTCTGATTCTGTTTCGTATTTACAGGGGTCACTAAAAGTTGCAATTTACTGCTGGTTTCCCTTGAAACTGCCACTATCTGCCACATTGGGAGGTTCCAAAAGGGGAAATGGAGAACCCCCCGAATCTTGCCTAGCCTTAATTCGGAAGAACAATTTGGAGAGTGGTTTGGCGGCCGCAGATTCTGAGACCTGCAACCCTTCAAATGCAAACGCATCCCACCACATGAGTGGGTTCCCTTGAATCTGTAACAAATACGATACCGAAACCCTGCATGATGCAAGCAACCACTGATTGGTGGTTTGTAAGAATCGATCAATCAATCGATCGCTGCATCAGAAACAACACAAACCTCCATGCCACAATTGAACCGTTTATATGAATCTCTGGATTCAAGCATTCTTTGAGAAGCACAACTTGCTGGCGTTTTTCCCGGTGAATGCTGGCTAGCTCCGCAAATCGCAACACCTGGGGGAACGGTAGAAGGTACACTTCCTGAAGAATCTCAACCAATTCCACGCGCAAGCGCCATCTACTTGCACTCCATGGGTATTTGGCATCTTGAAATTGGGGGATCCTTCCGTGGACGTCGGACTTGTCCAACCACCATGTGTTGAGCGTACGCCAAAAAAGCCCTTTTTGCTGACCGACAGTGCTTTGCTAGCTCCGAGTATACTAGGCAAACATAGGGGACATGTGTAGTCTGCAGGTAAGCATACCCAAAAGATACCTATAGTGGCAGTAATTTCAAGGTTTTTCAAGTGGTTGATTGGGCACCCCATGTTAGAGGATGTCACTTTTTGGAACACCACTCCCCTTATCCACAGGGTTCATATTAACTCCGTGAAAAAGGCCATTCCAAGACCGGAAAGGAAAGATGTCACGGTCCTTCAGTGTGAGCTCGCTCATTCAACCCCAAGGGACTTCTGTCTTTGCTGCGCAAAAAAACTCACTTGAGTGGATCTCACTTCCTGGGGTGATTGGCCAAACAAAGCCTTGTATTCAACATGTATTCAACACCAGACTGGTCGTCAAAAGTATCAAGTCCACGAACGCAGGGCGTGAGGGATTGCGGCCCGCCAAGTCGCCGCCCCGCCTCCGCGTTTCGCGACATCTCTGAGACCATCTCTTGAAGAGCCTCGCGAGAAGCCTGCCAGCCGAGGCTTTATCGCTAGGCTAGCCTCTTTCATTCGCGGGTACGTCCCCTGGAGAAAATGAGCAAACATCTCCAGGAGTGATAGATTCGCTGAACCAACAGCGGAAAATGTAACATATTCTTCAGGAAATGGAGGGCCCCGGTGTGCAAAGCTTGAGATTTGTTGGTTCCCCGAAAGTTAAAGCCTAAAGATCTATCCAAATTTCAGAGGATGGAAGGGGCCATGCAAATGGCCGTGGTTGGACTCCTTTGGCCGTTCACCTTGAAGGGGCCGTTAAGGAAAACTTAAACGGAAAACCAAAAGGACAAAATGGAGATGCGAGCAAATCACATAAAATGCGTGCTACTGCGACTCCTAAACCGGAACAAGGGAAGATCCCTCTAGAAGAGAAGCCTCGTGGGTGAGCCCGAAAGAAGGCCTTTGGGGCGTCTGTGGCTGGTTTGGCCCAAGTGAGGTCGCTTGTTGCGGCACCTGCATTCTGCATGTTGCAATGAACGCGGCTTTAAAGACCTGAAGCGCTAAGAATCTTGTAGAGGACACAGGGACATCCAACGGGCTTGGAAAACGATTGGACACCACAAATCCGAAAGATTCGATGATTGATGTGCAAGTTGCTTGCTTCATCCAGGGAGCCCGCGACCAGAAGACGAAAATATATTACACCCAAGCATAGTTCAGTGGAAATGAAGGAACCCAAAAGGGTAAAGGGCAATGCACTGCAATTGGGACACTGTCTGATTGAACTGTAGACTTCACCCACCGAGAATGAAGAACTCCTATGAAAGGAACCTCCACAATGAGTAACGTCGCGAACCCCAAAACGTGCCGTCGCTATGATTTGCCCAGTATATCTGGAAGCCGGGGAAACACATCCGTCGCACTCACCTCAGCAGCCTTCTGCTCCTCCTGCAGGCGCGTGTCCAGTGCAGTCTTCTCTGCCTGCAGGAGTGCCTACTGTAAACAGGCACCTGCACATGTTGTTGCTCAATATATATATATACAAATATATAATAATAATAATAATAATAATAATAATAATAATAATAATAATAATAATAATAATAATAATAATAATAATAATAATAATAATAATAATAATAATAATAATAATAATAATGTCCAAGCGGGATTCGAAAACGGCCCCCCCCCCAACGATGGGGGCACCTGGAATAGTATCTTGAGATCCAGTTCAAGTGAGTTTCCATTTGATTTAGTATTGCTGGAGCTTCCTTTTGAGATATGGAACTGAGTTTCCATTTGATTTAGTATTGCTGGAGCTTCTTTTTGAGATTTGGAACTGAGTTTCCATTTGATTTAGTGGAATTGCATTTTTCAGGGGAGTCAATGCATCAAGACTTTATTATAGGGGCCCCTGGAATAAAGTCTTGGGCTTAAAATTTGGGGCGCTGAAGTAGTACCCCCTTTGTGGGTTTGATGGTGGGCAGTTTTTAAACAAGAGACATGTAAGAAAACTTGAGTTTGGGCAAGGTCTGCAGTTTGGATTTTGGGAAGAAAGCAGCAAGCTTCACCAGCATCACCTGGGATTGTTATTGAATTTGGCCAGTTGGCTAGCTAAGAGGTAACTGCAATTAGGGAGTTGCATTTTTCAGGGGGGCCAATGTATCAAGACTTTATTATAGGGGGCCCTGGAACAAAGTCTTGGGCTTAAAATTTGGGGCGCTGAAGTAGTACCCCCTTTGTGAGTTTGATGGTGGGCAGTTTTTAAACAAGAGACATGTAAGGAAACTTGAGTTTGTGCAAGGTCTGCAGTTTGGATTTTGGGAAGAAAGCAGCAAGCTTCACCAGCATCACCTGGGATTGTTTTTGAATTTGGCCAGTTGGTTAGCTAAGAGGTAACTGCAATTAGGGAGTTGCATTTTTCAGGGGGGCCAATGTATCAAGACTTTATTATAGGGGGCCCTGGAACAAAGTCTTGGGCTTAAAATTTGGGGCGCTGAAGTAGTACCCCCTTTGTGAGTTTGATGGTGGGCAGTTTTTAAACAAGAGACATGTAAGGAAACTTGAGTTTGGGCAAGGTCTGCACTTTGCATTTTGGGAAGAAAGCAGCAAGCTTCACCAGCATCACCTGGGATTGTTTTTGAATTTGGCCAGTTGGTTAGCTAAGAGGTAACTGCAATTAGGGAGTTGCATTTTTCAGGGGGGCCAATGTATCAAGACTTTATTATAGGGGGCCCTGGAATAAAGTCTTGGGCTTAAAATTTGGGGCGCTGAAGTACTACCCCCTTTGTGAGTTTGATGGTGGGCAGTTTTTAAACAAGAGACATGTAAGGAAACTTGAGTTTGGGCAAGGTCTGCAGTTTGGATTTTGGGAAGAAAGCAGCAAGCTTCACCAGCATCACCTGGGATTGTTTTTGAATTTGGCCAGTTGGTTAGCTAAGAGGTAACTGCAATTAGGGAGTTGCATTTTTCAGGGGGGCCAATGCATCAAGACTTTATTATAGGGGCCCCTGGAACAAAGTCTTGGGCTTAAAATTTGGGGCGCTGAAGTACTACCCCCTTTGTGAGTTTGATGGTGGGCAGTTTTTAAACAAGAGACATGTAAGGACACTTGCGTTTGGGCAAGGTCTGCAGAGAAAGCTTTGAGCTACTGGGTGAGGAAAGAAGCAGGTGCCAAGAGCAAGGTGCCAAAGATCCAAGGACTTGGTTTGGCTATCTCTCCTCTCCGTCCTCTCATTCCTCTCGTTTTTCTCTTCTTATGTTTTTGTGATTTTTTTCTGGAAAAAATGGGCAGGGGTGGCGGATGCTTGTCTGCATGTACTAATCTTTTTGGGCCCCCTATTTGTCTTTATTCCAGCTGCATTTATTAATCCCACTTGCAAACTAAATAATAATAAATAATATATATATACACGTACATACATACATACATACATACATACATACATACATACATACATTACATACATACATACATACATACATACATACATACATACATACATACATACATACATACATACATACATACATACATACATACATACATACATACATACATACATACATACATACATACATACATACATACATACATACATACATACATACATACATACATACATACATACATACATACATACATACATACATACATACATACATACATACATACATACATACATACATACATACATACATACATACATACATACATACATACATACATACATACATACATACATACATACATACATACATACATACATACATACATACATACATACATACATACATACATACATACATACATACATACATACATACATACATACATACATACATACATACATACATACATACATACATACATACATACATACATACATACATACATACATACATACATACATACATACATACATACATACATACATACATACATACATACATACATACATACATACATACATACATACATACATACATACATACATACATACATACATACATACATACATACATACATACATACATACATACATACATACATACATACATACATACATACATACATACATACATACATACATACATACATACATACATACATACATACATACATACATACATACATACATACATACATACATACATACATACATACATACATACATACATACATACATACATACATACATACATACATACATACATACATACATACATACATTACATACATTACATACATACATACATACATACATACATACATACATACATACATACATACATACATACATACATACATACATACATACATACATACATACATACATACATACATACATACATACATACATACATACATACATACATACATACATACATACATACATACATACATACATACATACATACATACATACATACATACATACATACATACATACATACATACATACATACATACATACATACATACATACATACATACATACATACATACATACATACATACATACATACATACATACATACATACATACATACATACATACATACATACATACATACATACATACATACATACATACATACATACATACATACATACATACATACATACATACATACATACATACATACATACATACATACATACATACATACATACATACATACATTACATACATACATACATACATACATACATACATACATACATACATACATACATACATACATACATACATACATACATACATACATACATACATACATACATACATACATACATACATACATACATACATACATACATACATACATACATACATACATACATACATACATACATACATACATACATACATACATACATACATACATACATACATACATACATACATACATACATACATACATACATACATACATACATACATACATACATACATACACATACATACATACATACATACATACATACATACATACATACATACATACATACATACATACATACATACATACATACATACATACATACATACATACATACATACATACATACATACATACATACATACATACATACATACATACATACATACATACATACATACATACATACATACATACATACATACATACATACATACATTACATTACATTACATTACATACATACATTACATTACATACATACATACATACATACATACATACATACATACATACATACATACATACATACATACATACATACATACATACATACATACATACATACATACATACATACATACATACATACATACATACATACATACATACATACATACATACATACATACATACATACATACATTACATACATACATACATACATACATACATACATACATACATACATACATACATACATACATACATACATACATACATTACATACATACATACATACATACATACATACATACATACATACATACATACATACATACATACATACATACATACATACATACATACATACATACATACATACATACATACATACATACATACATACATACATACATACATACATACATACATACATACATACATACATACATACATACATACATACATACATACATACATACATACATACATACATACATACATACATACATACATACATACATACATACATACATACATACATTACATTACATTACATTACATTACATTACATTACATTACATTACATTACATTACATTACATTACATTACATTACATTACATTACATTACATTACATTACATACATACATACATACATACATACATTACATACATACATACATACATACATACATACATACATACATACATACATACATACATTACATACATACATACATACATACATACATACATACATACATACATACATACATACATACATACATACATACATACATACATACATACATACATACATACATACATACATACATACATACATACATACATACATACATACATACATACATACATACATACATACATACATACATACATACATACATACATACATACATACATACATACATACATACATACATACATACATACATACATACATACATACATACATACATACATACATACATACATACATACATACATACATACATACATACATACATACATACATACATACATACATACATACATACATACATACATACATACATTACATACATACATACATACATACATACATTACATACATACATACATACATACATACATACATACATACATACATACATACATACATACATACATACATACATACATACATACATACATACATACATACATACATACATACATACATACATACATACATACATACATACATACATACATACATACATACATACATACATACATACATACATACATACAGTACATACATTACATTACATTACATTACATGACATGACATTACATTACATTACATTACATTACATTACATTACATACATGCATACATACATACATTACATACATACATATATATATATATATGGTGGTTTAAACATCACCCCTTGAAGAATTAAAACCCGCAACAACTGCTTTCAAAACCCAACACAAACTAAAATTAAAAAATGGGCAGCCCTGAAAGGGTCCCGGTTTTTGACCCATGATAGGATGCAAATCAGAGCGTGCAACTTCCAGAAAAGAAGCCGCCCTCCAGCGGCAGCCCCGCCAAGAGCCAAGGAAGGATTAAGCTACGAGGCCGACGTGACTCCATTGCCTTCAAGTGGGGCAACACTTTCATGAGTTGCTTTGCGGTGGCTTGGTTGTGCTTTGAGTTGTTGTTATTTTCATCATTTCAGGCCCTTCTCATCTTGGGTTCCCACTGATGCTGAGATGGACTTCACCCGCAGAACCCTACGAGACAAAGGAAGACAACCTGAATCGGTGGGCTTGCTATAAAAAAGGGCAGTTAAAATGCAACAACACTGCAACAAGTCGTCTTCCCAGGATCTCCGCACAAATATTGTAAATGGTTGGATCTGCCGGAGCCATGGTACGCAAGTTAAGTGGAACATCTCAGAATCCCCGAACAAAAATCAAAGGTAAGATCCAACCACTCGGAAAGGTTCCTTTGATAGCCAGCCGTTTTTTGGATTGTCTCAGCCGCGGGCCGTGCCATGGAGATGGAAGTACTGCACACGAGGCTCTCTATGGACCTATTTTAGGGGATTCCTTTGATTCATGTGTGGCCATTTAGGTGAGTTTCGTTGAAAATAGATGGCACTGTCGCAGCCTAGTTCTAATCATTTGCCAGCGCCATCGATCTTTCCAAAAGGACACCATTCTCTGATTAGCATGGTCTTATGGATGAAAAAATGATGCAACCCCGAGAGGTAACCATACCTGGTTGCCTACTATAGGGGCAACTGGAAGCACCGGGTGGTATTCCCAAAAGCTCAAAGTGCAGCAACTCGACAAGTGAGGAAACTAACCTTCACAAAAGCCCCTGGCATGTGCCGGTTTAGTTCGACCGGCAATTGGATTCAAAACTGCTCTTGAATATTTTCCGAACTTATGGTTCTGCGTACGTGGCCCGGTAGCCTAAAATACACCATTTTGGACCCCCACTTTTGGACCACTGGACCACTTTGGACCAGATGGTGTCCGGATGGTGTACCACGGCACCCTCCCACAGTCGTCTTCTTTTAGTGGCAGACGGGGTGGTCCCCAATCCTGGAACAGGGATCCTTACATTATACACCTGAACATTGCCTTGACCATTTGTTGGCTTCCCTCTTTGGTACGGAAAAAGCAACAAATGCTTCAAATGGCTGCAACATGAAAGTTTCTTCTAAGCCCCATCCCCGGAACCGTCGAACACCTCGCCTCTTGGGAGGCCTTCGCCTCGGCGTGGCCCTGCTCCATCAGCGCGGCCAGCTCCTCCGGCTGGTGCCCCAGCCATTGGAAGGGGGCTCGCTGGTGAAACATATGGAAATATATGGGGGTCAAAACCAGTGGTGCCGTTTTGGGGTAGGTGCACCACCCATTTTAGAACCTATTTTAGTGGGGATTGGGATGTTAAGGGGGGGTACGGGATTTTGACCCATGGCCATATGGCTGTGGGTCAAAAATAGGTACTCCAAATGGGTTGCCCTGGTAAGTGGAAACATGGATCAAAACCTGCGCGACCCCTCCTGTTTAATTTTGAGCCATACCCATATATTGAAACTGTTCCTTTTGTTGGCTGGTGACCAATGGTTCCAATTCCGCGCCCTGCTTGTTGCCACGAAAATAAATCACCAGGCCCTCATGATGGTGAAACTGGAGCCAGAGGCCCTGCTTTGGCTGTTGATTTTAGAGGGAAATCTGAGAAACAAAGGCAACTGGGCGTCCCTATAAGGTCCACGAGTGCATGAGTCGCCTGTATGCGAAACGCGCTCACCGCTCCATTTATTTCCCTCCTTTTCCTGGGACAACTGGAGCAGTGCCTTTGATCATGCTGAGCTGCTGAAGCAGGACGTGTCAGTTTGAAACGAAAGAGTAAGTGCTCCCAGCTTGAAAGTTGGAGCTACAGCGCTGTGATGGCGCAGAAACACTTGTTCAAGCTTTGACTTTGCCCGCTTCTGTCTACGCACTGCGTTCCGGCAAGGTTGCACGTTTCGGCCCTATGGCGGGGGACGTCGTACTGGGTTTAGATTTCAGGCGGTTTCAGGCAGAAACAAAACAGCCCAAAGCAGCCTGATAAACCGGATGTGCTGAGAGGTGTGCGCTACCCAAAAATTGATTGCCCGGGAAACACCTCGTTTGCGCAATCCCTTGTTGAGGGCCGCCAAGACATAGCCATAGAGCCTTATAGTAGTAAAAGTGCAATCAGTAAAAGCCAATTCGCGCTTTTCGGGTTGCCCCCACTCCACAGGTGAAGCGCAGCAAAAGCAACACGTTGGGAAGGCCAACCGGACACCTCTGATAAGGTTCAGGCAGATTTACCCCCTGCAAGAACTTCATGTTGGTGGAAAGGGGAAATGAAGGGAAAACCGCAAGCAGGCAAACATATCAGCATGACCAGTGCTTCCAGATATCACTATAGTCAGTAACGAGGGATCCTTACCACTAGGCTTTACATGATGATGTCACCTGATTATCTAGTACAGTGGCTCGCGTGGAAGCACTGTGTGCCATTTAATTGAAAGAATGGGTAAGCCTGGCTGCGTTCCGCCAAAACTGTTGAAACTGAAAAGGGGATGAAGGGAAAAAAGGCGGGGCAACACGCCGCGATAATACGACAGGCCTTGCTCCGCTCCGCCATGGCGAGCTGCTCGCCGCCCTCCGGCGCCCCAGCGGCCCCGAAAAATCATGCAGGTGTCGCGTCCTTTGTTTGGAGTTGGTACCCCAAAAATAAATAAAAATTGTGGTCTTACAGGAGAATCAGCAAGAGACAGATTTAAAACCGTGTTCATGTGACTAACAGCTCAGATGCCCAGTGGCCACGGAAGACAAGGGCATCCTTTTTTGGGCTGGTTGACATTGAAGGGGAACCCTTCCAAAAAAAAAGGAAAAAAGGGCAGCACTGGGCAACTGGGACAGTTAGCACAAGGCTCCCCAAATGTCCCATCCATGTCCTAATCTCCCTATTTGTGTGGTGGCTGTAAGTGGCTATGCTAAGTTATTGTTACTCGCTATAGTTTCGTGACTGAACTTGATGTTGAAGGCGATTCAGGGGAATTTGATGCGGTGATTGGCTGTCGTGGGAAAAGGGTCCAATCCTCCCGTGTCCAGAAAAATGGAGAGCTTACTACCCGAAAATCACAAAATAGGCTTGGAGAAGAGAAAAACTCACATTGGAGAGGAACCGAATCAAGTTTGCAGGAGTTGCACCCCTAATTCTCCCCCGTTTGAATCATCCTGGTCAACGATTGCTGCCCAAAGCAATGGGATTTGACTTGGTCCTTTGCAAGGGCTCCAAAAAGGTTCGCACCGGCATACGCTTTCCTTGTCCAATTGCGAAGTCCCGAACCTGACGCAATGGTCCACTACATGGCCAAGCAACGAATTCTGAGTCCTTGTCGCTGTTGAAACAAGAGTCCTGAAAAAGGCAACCACGATGGCAAGGCTACAAGCGTTGCGTCACACCTTCCGCCAAGTTGCCCTCCCCCGATATAAGTCTTGATCCGACCCCAGCGTTTGAGCCACAGGGCAATCCACCTCGTCGACGTAGACCGGACGGAGCTGCGCCGAATATGACTCGATGCCAGGCGCTGGGAACCACCCCCGCAACTGGGTGCCCAAAGCACTAATAGCCATGCATGGTTGCTATGTCTGATCATCCCGCGTGGGGCAGTCTGGCGGATGCCTTTGTATATCTATGCATGTAACTTAAGACACTTACTTTCTTACAATAAACTATGTGCATACATAACCCACAGCCAAATCCCCATGAACTCCACTCCCAAACGCTTGTGTTTCGGCTTCGGCTTCGATGACTTCTCGAGGCCTGCTGCGCCAGCTGCGCCGCCAGACCTTCGGCGGTGCGCTGCAAGCCTTCCTCCGCAGCAGTGGCGCGGGAGGCCTCCTGCGAGACGCCCCACGTCACTTGCCCTTTCAGCGGGAAATGCAGCGTGATTCAGTTTGCCCCTAATTGGTGGTTTGGATGGGTGGGAGGTTCTGGGGTGGGTTCCGATTTGCCCTCTACAAAAACCAGGGGTTTAAGTCCCCAACCACCAATCCAAACCACCAATCAAGGGGTACCTGAGTGATCACCTGTTGGAACCTCTCGAAATAGACCAAAAGGGAAAAAGCAAAGGTTAAAAGGTCGGCTTTAGGCAAGCGAGGCAAAGGTATTCCTAACAAAAGGAGGTGTTGTTTTGCCGAAGGAAAACCTGGTTCATCATATCAAGTAAACGTGGCTTTACTCAAGGGCACTTTTCTTCTGGAGGTGTGGAGGTTCCATACATACCATTTATTCTATGTGGTATATACTGCCTTACAAGCGCTAGATGGTATGTAAGCATCCAACGCATACCTCTAAAACCCATACCAGAGAATGTCAAGGGAGCTGCCCTTTAAAAGCCAACGTACTGGGATCCGGACAAAGGCACCCAGAAGGAACCCCATTGCCCCAAGCCTATTCGCCCCCTAGGCCTCAGCCAGCAACAACACTTGCTCACGATAGTTTCCAGACTAAGTGATCCAGGAATTCTTTGTTGAATCACATATGCTACCATAATGTCCCATCAAATGTGATGCTGTTTATTTAGATATTATCATATTGTGGTAATGTCCAATCAAACATGATAAAGTTCAATGAACTATAAACTCCCATGCTTATTCTTTAGAAACTGCCATCAAATCCGATAAAGTTCAATCAATAACAAATGTCCATAGTCTGACAATGTCTTGAAAAGTTTGACAAATTATCACTGGCCCCGCATTCTTCTAATTGTCCAATCCTTATAACTTATACACGAGTTCAATTAATTCTCCACTAAAGTATGCTCCCAATCCCTACGTACTCCCAATACCCGCATTTTTAAGTGTCTCTTACAGCCAGGTTTTTCTTAACGGACATGCCTCCTTATAAAGTCAGGGGTTGACCTCCTACGTTGGGTGCAGGGGGTGTCAAATGGTTGGTTAGTAACCCTTCGCGGACTTACAACCATGACTTTGAGCTACAATCCCGGCTAAGCACTTAGGCGATTCGTCCCAGACCGTCGGGAGTGTCTATAGGGGAAGGGTCCATGTATGGACCTGGCCCCATAGTGAACACACAGACCCCTCGATTTGTTTTGTTCGGACGGGATCCACGTCAAACTCTGATCAAACATGATGCAAAAGGGAACATGGGCTTTCAAAATACAACTACACTAAAAAAGCGAGTATTGGGAAAGGATAACAAGTAGATCTGGAAACAACTTGGGGGACCGGCCCCTTACTAATCACTGCCCAAAGGAGGTAAACATATCGAAGGGTTGTACCTGGTATAGTTGCGAAACGCCTGGAGGGTGTCTCTCTCACCTAGTGTTGACCCGGATTAATTTGCACCTAGAGGGCGTGCCCTGCAAAATTGGTCTGCACCAAGGAATTGGACACCCCCCCGATCAACTCCCCTGCAAACTGACATGGAGCCCTAAAAACCACCATACTCATAGAGCAATTTTGTTTTACTCTTCTTTTTGAAAACCTATGCTAATAGAACTACCATATTGAGAGGAACCTCTTCTTTTTCTGGGAATCCATGTTAATAGAACCGCCATGTTTAGAGGAATATCTCCCTTTTCTGGGGATCCATGTTAATAGAACCACCATATTTAGAGAAATCTCTTCGTTTTCTGGGAATCCATGTTACGTAATAGAACCACCATATTTAGAGTAATCTCTTCGTTTTCTGGGAATACATGTTAACAGAACCACCATATTTAGAGGAATCTCTCTTCGTTTTCTGGGAATACATGTTAACAGAACCACCATATTTAGAGGAATCTCTCTTCGTTTTCTGGGAATGCATGTTAACAGAACCACCATATTTAGAGGAATATCTCTTCGTTTTCTGGGAATGCATGTTAAACCACCATATTTAGAGGAATCTCTCTTCGTTTTCTGGGAATGCATGTTAACAGAACCACCATATTTAGAGGAATCTCTCTTCGTTTTCTGGGAATGCATGTTAACAGAACCACCATATTCAGAGGAATCTCTCTTTTTTCTCATAATGGAATCCTTGGCCATGATAAACATATAAAATCAACTTCGCCGGGGTTCCCCATAGCCCGCCTGGCTCAAGTTCTGGGAGAGCTCATCTTGCGCCAACTGGTGCGTTTTCAGCTGCTCCTTGCCCCACCCGAGAGCTGAGAGGTGGTGTCGGCTGCCAAAAAAATCCGGGGGGGGGGGGGGGAGGGTTGGTTCCCTCTTTCCCTCAAGCACCAGAAACTCAAAATCCCAATCCGAGCCACTCAAATCCCAAGCCGAGCCAATCCAAACCAACTAAGGGTCACCTTCTTGGCTGCGGTTAATGCTGACCCCGTATTAATCAACCCCTATTAACGGGCAGTGTTCCCTCCAAACCCGGGGACACCCCCCTAAACTGAAACAAGCGGCCGGAAATCTCGTCTGGGTTGGGACTGTCCTTTTTAGCCTCCCCAAAACAAACCGCTTGGTTGAACAGGTTTTGAGTGTGGCTCACATTCTTGCAGTGTGTAACGCAAACGATTGTTTTGTTTTTAATATATATAAAACAAAAAAATGCGGAAAGGTTCCCAAACTCCATTGCTGAATGCGTTCGGAAGAACCACACGCACATACACACGAAGATCGTTGGTGTTGAACATGCTTAGAGCCGCTATTGTTTGAGCAACCTCTTGTTGGCCCATCTCAGGCGACCAGAACTCTTTTGGAGCCATTGCCCAATTTACAGGTCTTAGAATCCAGCGACTGGTCGCAAAGGAAGCCCCCACTTCCACGAAGCCTGGGGTTCGGGGGAAGGGTTTGCATCGGTATCTTCAACAGCAACCCCCTTTCTCTGGGACTTCCGCCCGGAGCCGCTCTGAACTCCGGAGCCGAAGGCAAAGACCCCAAAGCTTCCTGGGGAAGAATCTTCCATTTGCTTAAGCCCCCGGGGAAAATAAGCAGATTCCCACTAGTGATGGATTCCCTTTAAAACCCAACTATAGGGAAAATAACACTTATTTTTAAGCAAACGGAAGAATCATAGGCCATTTCGCGTAGTCGAGCCTACCCCCACAGCTGGCTCAGCCGATGCTTACCTTTCAAGTTCTCGAAGCGCAGGCCCCGCTGCCGACAAAGAAGCAGAACGATTTTCTTCTAGTGCCAAGGCCAGGTTGGCGAAGATCAACGGCAGGAATCATGCGTTTGTCGCATGGGGACCAACGAAGGTTCAACGTGGAATGGGGTGTTGAACCATAAAATTCAGGTAAACTATCAAGGGCATTGTCAGTTGGGTTTTGGAGGTGTGGTATAGACTTATGTTTGGGGTACATACTGCCTTACACGCTTATATAACGTATGATACCTCCAAAACCCATCCTTGAAAATGCCCTTGAACTTGACAGCAGGGGTTTAGGCCGAAAGTAAGCACTGGCTTAAAAGTGTTTGCATCAGTTGACACAAGACTTTTGGTGTGAAGTCGGGTTTGGGCTACTTGTTCGTGTCATGCCAATGGGCGACATTGTGACTACTTTGTCCATGTTCAACCCACAACCATGTTGAAGATACGGATGCACAAGCTGACCAGGTGAGACTAAGCCACTCGCAAGTTCGATTATTGGGGATTGCGGAGCAGAATGCCAAGAAGGCATACTTCATCTCCCCCCACACCAATACCGATTTGAAATACCCACTGGGGTATATGGTGAAAGACGTGGTTCTCCATGGCAAGTACCTCCTTGTCTAGTCATGGGCTAACATCATACCCTAACCAATGAGGGGTGGGGGGGGGCATTGGATGGTATTGGAAGCAGGGGGGTATCTCAAAAGAATCGGCATCAGGTGGATGCCCGCAAAAAAATACATCATTGTGCAGATACGTGCCCTAGAAACAAAAACAACAACTTTCCAGTAGTGACAAACAATAGACTGCCTGCGAAACCAACATGGTAGGCAACCCCTCTGTATACCTCTTTGTTTTACGTCATGGTTTTCCCTTACCTACTATAGTGGTGAAACGCCTGGATCCACTGAGACAGGGCAAAACTAATATTTTGAAACGGCAATGAAGGTTGCGGGAGCAGTTCAAAGGCTGCAACGTACGGGATCCCGTTGCAAACAAAAGGGCTTTGGCCAGCGTAGGCCTAGGATTTGAATGGGTGTGTTTTTTTTGGGGGGGACCCGCAAAATTGTGTTGTTCCTCTTGATCGTTCTTCACACAAAGAGTACCCTTACAAAAGGCAAGCCGAAAATATGTTCTATGTTCCAGAATTCCGTCAAGTGCCTCTGGATGCCGATACACAAAGATATCCGCCGCTCGTCGAACCTCCAGGCGATCCCCTGTCGCATGTCTGCTACTATGGATAGAAATTCGATTTGCTGGGTCTGGTGGATTTTGGCAAAGGACCTGGAAACTCCAGTGAATTTCCCGGGGAACGAAAAGGGCACCGTTTCCGGGTGATTTCACCTGGTCCCAATTGGTGGTTTGGTTTGGTGGTAACGTTAAGGGGGTACTCGGGACCCGCGTTTTTTCTGGCGCACAACAAACAAGTGGACAATGGAAATCATGTAAAGTCTGTGTCTGTTGCATACAAGTATTGACAGTGTCTAACATGATAAATAGGTTTGATCCCGAAAGGAATGACATGGAATGCCATGCCTGTCCGTAAAGGTTCTCCGGCAATGTTGATGATTACAATTACAAAGGCTTCCCTGCCCGTCCTGAAGCCAGTGAGTGACTGAGAAGCATGTGCGCGCTGCATAGTCGCAAGTCCAAGATGTTCCCACAAGTGTCTACCGTGACGTGATGCTGGCTTGAGTCGCAATCAAAACCTGGCTCTAAAACGGTCCACCCCAGACCAAGTAAAGAGGTAGAAGAAAGGATATCAGCATGGCTGGAATGTCCCTTACCCACCTGCGCGTCCCGGGCGTTGGCATGTCAGCCTACAAGTTGTAAGACCATCTGGGTAAAAGAGTGAAGCTCTTGGTACAGACTGATTGGGCTCAGTTCGGCCAAGTGGTTGACAGCTCGCAATAGATCCCGATTTTCCGCATCTGCAACCCATGGGCCCATGGGACACCGCCACAAGCACACCTGGCATCATATTGCGGATTGACAATGAACAACCCAGCTTTATTTGGCCCAACCCCAGGATACACGAAACATATTTGCACCTTCTACAACCCTAAAAGGCGCTACTCCAACGGAAGACCCTCCCTGTCAAAGATTCAGGCAAATGGCACTAAATCCCAACGTCGAAATCAAGACAATTCTGGTTTGAAGTGTCCCTCAAGCTTCACCTATCTGGCCGAGTGCTTCCAGTTACCACTGGAGTGTTAAAGGAGGGTGTATTCCATGTAGGTTTTACATGATGGCTTGCGCTGGTTTCCTACTATAGTGGCAACTGGAAGCACTGGGTGGAGTATGATTGTGGCTTTGGCAAACAGGCAGGTTTCCAAAAAAGTTTGATCCTCCACTGATTGGGCAATCGACTCCTGGATCAATGGGAGGAGATCCAGTAGTCGGGGGCCTCGCCTAGCAATAAATTGCTTTCATACATACACCCCCCCCTACATTTTTTTTCATCTTCCATCTTCTACCCTTATTCGTTTTCATCATTTTTCTACATTCATTTCTGTCCATCTCATCCGTTTTTTTATCATCATTTTTCCAAACTTTTCGCCATCCTTTTCTCCTTTCTCCTCGCCTCATTCATTTCACCAACTACCCTTCAAAATGTCATTTCCTCAATCTCCTCACCTCATCCATTAAAAAAAAAAGCAAAATATATTGCAAAAAATATTTGTCATCAAAAAAATATTCGAACTGTCTAAAAACGATTTGTCCATTTCTCGGACAAAAAATAGAACAGCAACAACATCACTCCCCTCCTTCGTTTCATCACTTTTATCATATATTTTTAATAGGCGTGGTGTCCCTTGTAGGAGTTTATCTTCAATATATAAAACGCTATACTTACATTATAATTATAACATATAA